TTTTTTAAATAATTATAATAAATATTATACTTACAAGATACTTACAGGAAACTTGCATATAAAGCAAACAATTAATAATCTATATCTTAAAAGTGATGTTATGAGACATAATTCTAAAGAAAATATTGTAACTGGAAAAAAAAAAGTTTTAGCTTTGATAGTTGAGAATTTAAATGGTTACAATTTTAATAAATGGACAGCTAATGCTTTAATGCAAACAAAAAAGGATATAATCATCGAAGGACGAAAAAAATTTAGTATCGTTACATTCAACAATATAAAGTAATGAATAAATTTAATTTACTTATCATTAATTATTAGCTTAATAAAAATTAATATTTGATTATATAGAATGTCTGGAACTATAATGGGCTGTGCTATAGAAGAGGTATTAAGAAAATCCACAAATCAAATAATCTATAGCCAAAAAATAATTCAAGGTTTTATCAATGCATCTGAATTTATTATTAATGGCTTAATAAATGATGTAAATTTAACTAAATTAGTATATCATCAATTAAAAAAAAATAATCCTCTTCAAATAATAAGAACAGGAATTGAGTTACATAATAGTTTAAATATTATTGGAAATCTTACAATCAAAGGTGTTTATGAAAAGTCAGAAATGAAAATTTTTGACAAAAATTACTCAAATGCCCAAACCATTATTAAAAGGATGAAAAGATTTATAAGGACAGCAGAAATAATTAATATAGCTTTACGAAGTATTTTTTCATTTTATTCATTTTTTTTTTTTATTAAAAAAAATCTTTGATCTTGGATATTTTAATATTTGGTTGTCAATTTACAGGTCGAGCAATTTACATAAATAAATTAGAAATTATAAATGACACTATCGATGCTTTTAATAAATCTATGATCATTCAATATAATGCAATACAATGTAATTCCAAAAAGTTTTCTTCATATTGTATCAGTAAATATGCAAAGGAATTAATTTTTCAAACAAATATCGGCAATTTTATATTATTAAAGTCAATAATGATGGACGAAAAAGAATTCATTGTTCTTGTAAAATTTAATTCTATATCCATATATTCATTTATTAATATAGGAAATAATTTTGTTCATTTAAAAGGTTTATATACTTATTTAATTTTAATTTATCAAAATGTGTATCTTATAAAAATAATTTTAACTCTCATTCGATTGAATCACTATTTAAATATCCATAACTTAATTTTATTTTCGAATTATCTTTGAATATTTATAATTTTTGATTTGTTATTGAAAAATATATTGATTTGATTTTTATATCAATGCTCTTAAAAAAATATAAAGATTAATTTATATAATCTTATAATATATGATATATAATTTATATAATATTTATATAATTATAATTTATATAATTTATATATCAATATATAATAAATAAATATTGTTTTTTATGTTTGAATTTCTTTAAATTTTAAGCTTTTATTTTTTAAAATAAAATAATGTAAAATGTCATAAATAATACTATATAAAATTAATACTAGTTTTTTAGAAAAAGAGGAAAATTGTGTAATTTATTCATTTACATACAAAAAATGTACAATTTAAAATATTCTCTCGAAATAAATATAACATTATTTTAAATTACAATTGAATGCGTGCATAGTATATAAATGCTTTACAGATTGTTATTAATAATCTAAAAATAATAAAAATAATGAAAAATGATAACAATGTAATATATTTAATTAAAATTTCAGATTTATATTTTCCTAACATAATGGATGCGTTTGTAGAACAAAAGTGGCATGGATTTGGATTATGGATTATTTTGCGATTGATCTCACAAACTCTGGTATTACTTTATCAACCATGGGGAGATATACAACAATATATTTTGCCTGTTACAGACGTATTTTCAATAAATAGATCTCCAAATGATCAAGTTTTGTTACTATTATCAAATGGTATATGGGATCTTGAAGGATTAGCTAATCCTCGTAATATCATTGAAATTCCCCTCAAAGGAAAAATAAAGACTGTTGTTGATAGATTCAATTATTATGTAAAGTGTATTTCAAAAAATGAAACAATTTTGATGAAAGCTCGATATGTATGAAATTGATTGTTAAATTAATTCATTGTAACTAAACACAATTGAAAAATTTTAACAAAAACTTATGTTAATCATTAAATATTTTGATGATAATTTTGATATTTAATATATTTATAAATAATGTAATATATTAATAATTATCATTATGTGAAGAAGTATGATAAGTTATTTCGTTAATTCTGAATATTTTAATAATAATTTGGAAGTTTAATATTTAGTAATTAATGTATAATTATCATTATTTAGCCTAGAATGTAATAAAATATTTTTCAATAATTTTTCAAAATTGTATAAAAGTATTAAATCCCATAATTGTAGAAAAGTTTTTACAACAATAATGTGTTGTTTTAAATTATCAGATATCAACTGTAATAAATTTCCAATAATTTCAATTTTATAGAAATTTATAAAAGAATCCAAATTGTTTTTTAAACATTCTTCAACTAATTATTATTATTATTACGTTTATTAGCAAAATACGGTCCAGTAGCAACAGTGGTGGACATCGTCATCTGAGAAACATAAAAAAATTAATATATTTTTTATATTAAAAAAAAACATTAATAAATTGAATTAAAATACAAACTCTTGCCGCTTTCTTAATTACGGTAACATCTTCAGGTTTTGCCTTGGGATCTGCATTTGTCTTTTTCTTTTCTTCCACTTTAAATAGTTTCTATGAAATAATATTTTTTAATACATTACATAATTTAATTAATTAAATAAAAAAACAAAATTAAAAATTATTGATTTAAAACTAGAAATGTTTATGCAAATTTATATTTATATTATTATTATTATTAATATTCTCACTGGATCTTTCGCAGAAAATTTCTCTTCGAACTTTTTTTTCTCTTGCATTGCGTTATTAAGAGCTGCTTGTTCAGCGGGTGTAAGAATTAAAAGTCTAGGATCCATAGCGATCCACTCGCTGTTGATGACCTGATCCATCTTCCATCGTTTTGAGACATCAGGTTCTAGGAGACGAGCTACCAATTTCTTCACTTGATCGCTCAAAGTTTCTGCAATCTTACTGCGAAACTTCCATTTACGGTTTGTTTGTTGCTCATACAATCGTTTGATATCAGTATCATCGAATGGCATCGATTTATTCAATAGAATATACAAGATGACTCCGAGGGACCAAAGATCTGCGATCTTTGGATTATATGGAGATGCACGAAGGATCTCCGGAGCGGCATAGGATAAAGAACCGCAATAGGTATCGCTCATAACACGCTTACCTCGATTATCTATTACGTAACGAGCAAATCCGAAATCAGCAAGTTTTACATTAAGATTCGATGTTAAAAGAACATTTTCACATTTCATATCTCTGTGAGCGATCTCCATTTCATGTAAATATTGAAGAACCTAAAAAAAAAAAATAAAATTATCAATAAAAATTTATTAAATTATATAAAATTATATATAATTCAAAATATAAATTATACTTTCTTGAAATATATAGAATAATATTACATATTTATTTTTATTGAAATAAATTATTATATTTTTAAATAAAGAATCATTAAAATTTCATAAATCATATGAAATTAAAATATTTATATTTATCAAATTAATTTAAATGAAATTTGATAAATATAATTTTCATTATAATATATTCAAAAATATATTTTTAGCTTTCATTGTTATATAGAGTTTTCATTGTCATTTAGAGATATATTATGGTACCAAGCGCAAGTTGACGAAACCATACGCGCGCCTGTCCTTCTGCAACCGCACCATTCTTCAAAATGAATTCTAGGAGATCACCATTTTCAGCATAACGCATAAATATATAATACTTAGTACGTCTTTGAAATATGCTATGAACATGCACTACATGAGGATGATTCAATTTTACTAAGATATCAAGTTCTCGAGGAAGAAATTTTCGTACAAAATCCTTAGGTGCTACTCCTGTATCTATAACCTTACATGCCAAGGTACTATTTTTGTCTGGATCAGATTCTGGTTTATACTCCGCCAGATATACCTACGCGAAATAACGCGATGAATTTTATGTAATATTAATTGAAGAAAAATTGAAGAATTTTATTTCATAATAGGATTCAAATTTAAATATAGAAAACGACTTTACCGACTGAGATGAAAAAGAATTTGAATTTTATCATCTTTTTTATGAATTGGTTACCGTATCATTTTATAATATGATTTATGAGATGGTTAATTAACCTTTGCGTAAGCACCTTCACCCAGCTTTTTTAAGAATTTATAACCGCGAGCGAATAAAACTGCCTCCTCGGATGAAGTCTGACTCAAACTCGTCATGAGATTTCACAATCCACAAGTGACATCCTACTGGTTCTATTACCATAACTTATAATTAATTATTTCATTTTTTGTTATAAAAAAAATATTATTATTTAAATATTATTATTTATTAAATTTATATTTCTTATTTCATTTCTATAATTTTATCTTATTATTTAATAATATATATCATGATGGTTAGGTAATTGCTGATTAAAATTAATAAAAATTAATATTAATAAAAATTCATTTCAAATTACTAATATATTTTATAACTATTGTTATATTTTGCCATAATTTAAAATTATTTTTTCCACTTACTTTTATCTACCAAGCAAGATTGTAATAAAATAGTGTTTTGATAGTGAAAATACCAATTATTTAATCATTTTATCTAATTAAATATCATTAAATATAAAGCATGATAACAAAATTTATGTCCATTCCTACTTTATATTATTTTACATCTGTGAAATAATTTGTTAAGGAATTAAAAAAGGGCAAAAGAAAGTAAAACGTTAATTAGGGAATAAGTTGAATAAAAACTAATAGTTCGTGTTTTATTAATATGTAATTGAAGTTTAAATAACGGATGTGAAACTAAATCGAGATATATCGACATCTTTAACATGCTAACTTCGAGAGAATTGATCAGTCTTTCTTCCGTAATCATAATCAGAAGAAAGAAGTGATGTAAGTATAGTATAGTCATTTTTTAAAATTTTATTATTAAAATATTCATAAAGTATATTTGATGTGCTCTTATAATTATTTAAGATTTTATCTATTGAATAAATATTATGAAAATCATATTTTTTATTAATGTTTAAATATGTCTAATAAATATCAAAGGCACGTGTTTTGAGGTTAAAAAATATCTTTGTTAGATATTTTCATTTTCTATCAAATAATTAATTATTTTTTTTAAAAAGTTATGTGTTTTTTAAATATTAAATGAAAAATAATTTTATTAAATACAATTTTATAGTTTTTTAATAACTATGAAACTTTTTTTGTTAATTTTGATCAGAATGGCGGACACTGCTCCAGCCGCGCGTGGAGGTTTTCGTGGAGGATTTGGTTCTCGTGGAGGAGGTGATCGTGGAGGTCCGAGAGGTAGAGGTCGTGGAGGTAGAGGACGAGGCCGTGGACGTGGACGTGGTAAAGAAGATAGTAAAGAATGGATTCCAGTGACTAAACTTGGACGTCTTGTTAGAGATGGAAAAATTGAATCCTTGGAACATATTTATCTTTTTTCTTTACCAATCAAAGAATATGAAATTATTGATAAATTTCTTGGGGTTGAATTGAAAGATGAAGTATTGAAAATCATGCCTGTACAAAAGCAAACTAGAGCTGGTCAACGTACACGTTTCAAGGTAATATTATATTTAAATAAATATTATATATAAAATTATTAATCCAATAAAAATTTAACTAATAATTGATTTTTATTTTATAGGCTTTTGTAGCTATTGGTGATTACAAAGGTCATATTGGTTTAGGTGTAAAATGTTCTAAGGAAGTAGCCACTGCTATCCGTGGTGCTATCATTTTGGCTAAACTTTCAGTTGTGCCAGTACGCCGTGGTTATTGGGGAAATAAAATTGGTGATCCTCATACAGTACCCTGTAAAGTTACTGGCAAGTGTGGATCAGTTCAGGTGCGTCTAATTCCAGCACCAAGAGGTACAGGTATTGTCTCAGCACCTGTGCCTAAAAAACTATTACAAATGGCTGGTATCGAGGATTGCTACACTTCAGCTAGAGGATCCACATGTACTCTTGGCAATTTTGCTAAGGCTACTTATGCAGCTATTGCCAAGACTTATGCATATTTAACACCAGATCTTTGGCATGATCAAGCACTAAGAAAAGCACCATATCAAGAATTCGCAGATTATTTATCTAAGAATCACAGAGTTGTGGGTGGACAGAGACCTGCTGAGGTTGTTTAAGCAATAAACCTCCATGCAAAGTATCCAATTGAAATTATTTCCCCTTTTTATTTCCTATTCCTCATTTTTTAATTAATATTATATATTCATATAGGGAATTATATAGGTATTTTATAGGTAATATATTAAGCACAATTATATTATAATTTATTTTATTTTTATTTAAACAAAATTTATGTGCTATCTATAGATGTATTTTTGGAAGTCTTAAATTGATCATAAGCATTATTAAAACTTTCTAAAGTATGATCACAAATTTTTTCAAAATCTTCTAATCCTTTTTTTAATATGTCTATTGCTTTTCCTTTTTTTGCTTGAATTCTCAAATATATGTTTCCTTCAGCTGGATGATTAACGAAACAAGCACAAAACTCTACATTAGGACTATATACAAAATAATTAATAATTAGAAACTTATATTGCTAATAAAATTATATTTTAATTAATATATAAATATACTTTTGTGAAATTACGGAGACTAATGAATTTCCTAAAGTATAACCTTCACCCATAAATACAAAAGTTTTACATTTTTCGGATGACTGTTCACTAGCTACCTATAAATGAAATTTCTATTTAATTTTTATTTCTTACATTGCAAAAAATAATATAAATACAGATTTAATTTTATTAATTATATTAATGAATACTGTACCTCTGCTAACCGACCCATTATATCGTTTATTCTTTCTAACAAATTACTATAAAGTAAAATATTAAATTTTTTTTATTTATAATATTAAGAAAAACTATTATTATTTAATACTTAAAATGTTTATTTATTATTATGTTATATAACGTCAAATTATTAAATTTGTTTTCATGTGTACACGTTTATGTCGTTCATATCACACTATAATCTATTGTAATTATTAAGATATATACATAACCTTATTTTATATTTGTATATAATATAAAATTAGTAGTGAATTATACTTAAGGTAGGTTTATTTATTTTAATAAAAAATATTACATAGAAATGTCTTTAATCATCTTTTAAAATATTATAATTTATAATTTAAATAAATTGAAAGAATATTTTATGTTTTGCATAATATAATATTTAGTGAAATAATAATTAACCTTAATATTTTATATTTTTAATTTTATAGCTAATGATAATTCTGCATTATTATAAAAAAATATAATAAATATTATGAATAAATAGAAGGAAATGCAGAAAATGTCTTTAAAAAAAATAATCTTCAATGTATCATTGAGTTTAAAATTTCAAAATATCAATATAAGATATTATTGTTCAAATAAGATTCTTGAATCCTCTGAAGAAAAACCAGTCTATTTAGAAGAAACAAAAGATAATTTTGAGTTAGAAAAAAAAAGAAATAAATCAAGATTATCATTTGCTGATAGAAATAGATTGTTTGAACAAAAACCTTACAATGAACCTATAGAATGGTATCATAATACAATCAAGTACAAGAAACGAATATTAGGAAGATATGGAATGGCAGCTTTAGAAGTACCTGCAGGATTGGCATGGCCTATACCTGAAGAAGTAGAAGAACAAAAAGAATATGAAAAAATTGCCTTTTCTTTAAGTATCCAAGAAAGATTACAAAAGATTAAAGAAGAAAAGAAAAAGAAAGAAGAGATTTTAAAAGCTAGGTATGTTAATAAAATAATTAGATTGATTAATAAAAGATTTAAATGTATATTATTTTATATGTTTGTAGACAAGCACAAATAGCTAATAAAATGTCAGATATGAAAAAATTGATAACACAAATAAAAATAAAAATTGCTGAAAAAGAAGCAGCAGAATTAGAAGCTAAAAAACGAAAGGAACGTAAAATTGAAGAAATCAGACGTCAATTGATAGCTGAAGGAACTATTTCCGAACATTCATTAACAGAAGCAATAACTTTAGCAGAAAAAGATGAGAAAAAGAAAAAGAAGGAACTTAAGAAAGCAAAGATGTTGGAGAGACAAAAAAGATTAGCAGAACGATTAATTCAAGCACAACAGCAAAATGAAAATCTTGAAACTGAAAATAAAAATGAAGCTGATTCTAAAAACAATAATTAAAAATTTACGAAATAGACATAGTTTGATGAAAACGTATTGTATTGTAAAATAATTTCTACATAGTAAAATGAACGCTTTACAAACATCCATTGTTAGTTAAATCTTTTCAGTATATAAAACTTCCAAAGTAATCGGAATTTAAAAGAATAATAATATTTACAGCTCATAGAGTAAATATTGTATTTACTTTTGCTAATACAAAAAACGGTACATATTATTTTGTAAGGGTTAAAAGAAAACTATACTAATGTGTAGTATTAAATGACTCCTTAAGACATATATCCAGGCACAATGGAGTAATAATATGCAGCTTTTCATTTAGCTTTATTCACGCATATGTTTTGAGAATCTTGAAAAAGTTTAATAACCTTTTTATTTTGGTTTCTATATAAATCTCGTCATAACATTATTAGAAAAATCAGCTTTCGATCATTGACTCTTGAAATTCTTCTTGAAATTCTTTTTCATCAATAACACTGTAAATGTCTTCTTCATTTTCCACTTGATTGCAATCCTGAATATTTTGCACATGCAGTTCGTCAATAACAATAAATCGCAGTTTATTTTTCTCCATATGTCAGGCAGACTGAATTTGTGATGGAGATGATAATTCATAAAACTGAAAACTTAATTCCTCCCCAAAAAGATTTTCAGGTGTGATGATTTCTGGTTCAATCATGTTTAGACCTAAAGCAGTAGGATTTAAATCTGTAACTAGATATCCTTCACTTATTAGTCCGCATTCTTCTGCGACTACTTCTTTTGATACTGGATTGAGAAAATCTAAAAATATTTTATTAAAAGTTGAATTTAGTTATATAATTTTAATCTCTTATTTAATTAATTAGATTACCACTCTCTTTCACAGGATAATGAAGCTCTTGCGTTTGTTGATTGGGATGGGTCGATTCATTATTGGACACCATCATGGGAACAAGATATTGTACTTCTACTTCTTTTTTAATACCACTAAGAATTTCTTCAGCACAATGCTCTAATGTTACAGAATTTACCATGTTCTCAGTCTCTTCTTCATTAGATTGTTGTGTAATGCTGGCAGTTGCTGCTTCTACTTCATCTATTGAATTCATTTGACTGAAAATATATTCATATAAGTAAATACAAATAATAAAATAATTTTTCAAATAATATGAGAGCAGCAATTGATTACCTAACATTTTTCCTCAGATTTTCAATCTCTATACTGTTCTTGTTTATTTGTTTCGTAGAAGAATTAATGATAGAATTATTAATGGTTTGTCTGGGTCTGGAATCTCCAGAACGATTTGCAATAGCCCATAAGTGTCCAGCTCCATGTGGTGCTTTTGATCCTTTCCTGAAGTGTGGATTTATGGACAGATTGTGTCGAACAGAGTTTTTCCAACGATCGTCATTACTTTTGTAGTACGGAAAATGTTCTCTAAAAATATATTTAAAAATATATTTAAATTCATATTTAATTAAATTTTATATTTCATTAATTTTTTATGATATAAGTAGACAAAAAAAATTGATAGAGAAAGCTAATGGATTATAGGAAAATTATAATTTTATTAGTTAATTATTATTAATTTTATTAGTTATAATTTTATTAGTTAATTCTTAGAATAATAAATAAATTTGAATAATAAAAAATGTTTAAATGATTCCTATCTATTCAATGTCGATAAATGTATATTCCTACGAGAATAATTTTTTTTTATGCAATATCACAACGTTATACATATATTCGTTATGAGTATTACTCCTCAATTAATTTTTTTGGAAAAGAAAAGAACGCTTCATAAATTTAATAATAATTTTTTTTTCTGTTCTAATAACTATAATAATCATGCAACAAAAATAATTCAGTCCCATAATTTTAATTCATTTTTATTATTATATTGTTATTATATTTTAGTTTGGAATTAAAAAAATATAATAGTTGAGTATTTTTTTAAATTATATAAATATAAATTGTCTAATATACATTGTAATATAATAGAGAAAAGGTAAGAAAAAAGAGAGAAGAAAATATTAAGTTTTTTTTATGTTCTATTTTTATTATTATTAAATATTTACTATTATTACTAAACATATGCTCAAATATAAAAAAATAGTTAAATAAATTAATAATCAAATAAATTCATATTTTGCGAAATTTATATTATATTATATTTAATTTATACGAATTATTTTGCGAATTAATAATATTTAAATACATTCTAATTTTTAATAATTATCGGAATTGAATTTCTTTATGCAAGTAATTCATTTTAAATATAAATGTGTACATTTTGTACATCGTTTTTCTCAGAATCGTAAGGAATATACAAAACGAAACGTTTTTGTAAATTTATGAGAACTGTATTCTATGTTGATGCGGGGGTGGTCTGTCGGGAAGACTCGTGTTCTTAGATGGTACCCCTTGGCACCGCTGCCCTCGCTACATGATGGTACCAGTTGGTACCGGTTCTTTCACTTGTTCCAACCCTCTCCCTCTCCTAATAACACGAACGTGCGCATTTTACTACCTCCATGCTTTCACCTGTTCGATCGTGGGTTCGTGAAATACATATAGATAAAATACAGATAATGGAATTGAACTTATTTTTACTTTCCTCAAAATATTTAAAATAAATTTTTATTTTTTCCTTATAAGGATAGAAAAATTAACTGAAAATTCTATAAAATTAACTGAAATTTATATGTATACCACTCTTTTATCTATTTTTAATAAAATATTTATAAAATTTGTTATTTATAAAAAAGATTTATAATAAATCGTTATTTAAATTCTGCAGATATTTTGCAATACAATATTTATTAATTTATTTCATTTCATTTTAATTTCTTTTCTTAATTTAATTAATTTAATTAAATAATATTTATTATTTTAATTGATCAATTCTCTATATTTTATAATATATTCTATAATATATTCTAGAGTTGAATTTCATTTACGTTAAAAACGAAATAGTAATTGATTATGATTTTTCAAATATTTAAATTATTATATATATATTTATTATATATATTCTTTCAAATTATATTATATTGAATAAAATAAGTGATACTGTTTGGAATGTGAACTTTCTATTTTAAATTTTATTTTGAAGCTAGATAAGTATGTGAATGTCTGTCTTTTAATTTTTTACCAATGTGTTTTACGTCAATGAATTTATTACAACATACTAATATAATATATATATTATATTATATATATGTTGATATAAAATAATGGTATATATGTAATAAATTGATGTATAACATAAATTCAATATAATATACTATTTACAAACAATTTAAGAAAATTAATTAATAATTTAATAAATTCATGATATCAAAAAAAAATTTCGATAATAATAAACATTAATGATCAACTTAATATTTTTTTTTATATATCATAATATGCAATTTAATCTCATATTAAATTTTAAAAGTTTGTAATATAAAGTACTACAATTCACGTCATCATAACATTGTTCAAAGTACTTACGAGATCCACTGATAAATAGCTGATACCGTAAGCTCTCCCCTTTCTCGCAAAGCGTGTTCAATCAGCTCTGTATATGTGAAAGGCGGTTTCTTTGGGCCATTACACCGGGAAGACGCGAAATTTCTATTGTCGAGGCTAGAATAATTATGATTTGATTCCTGATGCAACGATCCATTCTCGTTGTAATTCTTTTTAGCATCGTTAATGTAGGCAGATCCATAAGAACGTCCATTCATTCTTGCTTTGTTTCCTAAATAAGAAAAGTAAACAATTTCTCAAAATCATATAACAAATAATTCTAGAAATAGAATTAACCCTTTATGTTTAATGTTCATATACTATTTTTTCTATATTTTATATTTTATAATAATCCAAATCAATAATCAATTTTATTAAGAATTTTGTAAAAAATAAAATAATGTTTAAAGGATTCGTTAAAAAAACTTGTTGAACAAGTTCGCACCATTGTGAATATCTTTGGATAAAGATACAGTGGACTTTTCGTCTGCAGCTTCGATAAAAGGATCTAACTTAAAATCCAATAACCAGGAAAGATTTCCAGTCTCTTGATCATCAAACTGTTGCTGCTGATTATTACCAGAAAGCATCATGGGTTTATTCTGTTGTATATTGGATGATTGGACTGTAACAACTGGTTCCCAATAATCACAATCAATGGGATAACTTGTTTCCTCAATTTGAACCTCCTGTATCACTTGTTCTTGTCTATTTTCCGACGACGAGGTAGATGTAGATGGTGAAGCCGTAATATCAGCGATACTTTGCTGCGATTCCAATTCTGAGACGGTTGTCCAGGTACAATTAGTGCCATCCACGAGAAGGACTTCCAATCGACCGACTGAACATTCATCCACGGCTTCTTGAGCTGATAACGGTGAGAATAGGGTTGCAGTGTCGTTTATCACTTGATTAGAGGCAACCATTTCCATCGGAGCCTCGATTTCTTGATATTGGTATCGTTTATGACCGTTTTGAATTTCTTCGCAAAAGTTCTCGATGTCCAGATCTTCGAAAATGCGTTTCTTTCCGCTACGGGATTGATTATCTGATAACTCGTGTTCTGAGACACCACCGATGCCAGAAGATGGCCCGATCATGCTGTTAAAAAAGAAGTTTTATTTTAACAATTAAATATAAATAAATTAAATATTAATTAAATATTTAATTTAATTATATTAATTAAAACATAGAAAATAGTTAATATTTGTATCATAAAATTTAACTAATCTTAAACTTTATTTACAATAAAATTTCATTTTATAAATTTAATTCTTTTCAAGTTATATTTTCATTATCTAAATATATTTGTTTAATATTTTTATAATATAATATATATGATTAAAAATACGAATTATTCAAGTTCATTTCTTCAATAAAATAATTTATTTATTGAATGTTAAAAATTATAATCGCTAAATTTTTACATATTCAAACACTATTATATATTTTATATATTTTTATATATTTATGAACAAATATTTAATAAAATCTATTTATATGCGAAATTTTATTAATAAAACGAAAAATCATAAACAAAAAGAAAAATTAAAAGGATTTTTATTATATAAACAACTTCAGTTTGTGTTCATG